CATTATTTTGTCATTAACTTGGTGCAACATAAAGAAATCTAAGGAAGTGCCTCACGCTAATTATTTGGCTCAACCAGAAAGCACGTACACATCTTCACACAGGTTGCGAGATTGCTGCAACCTTCTGTAATATGGATTGAAGATGCAGAAAAAATGTTCTACAAGAAAGTTCCCAAAGAAGAAAAAGAGGTACTGCCAAGCAAGACAAAAGCTTAATAACATTCACATTTTGTCCAAATACTTCAGGAAAAATTGAGATCTCTTTGCATGTGTTCACAGTTAGAGCCAAAACGCTTGAAGAAAGACTTGCCAAAGTCTCTAAAGCTAATCAAAGGGGAGGATCGTGTTCTGATAATTGGAACATCAAAAGACCCGCAAGCTGCAGATATCAAGTCACTGTGTAAAATGTACAGCAAGATTATCCTGATCCCGAGACCAGACTACGGCTCAAGACACAGTAAGAAACGACATATTGAGAAACCATTTTTATGTTGTTCATACTAATGATGAAATCTTTGATATTTGGTTTTATTTTTTTAGATTATATAATATATGATTTCTTATTTAATTATATTTAATACTGAATTCTGACTCTGTCTGTTTTCAGTCTTGTTGAAGCAGCTGATCAAAAAGCAGGGAGGCGTGATAACCAAGGCTCTTGACCTCAGCTCTCTTGCAAAGATTTCTGATGGCTACACACCGGGTCACATGGTCAAGGTGATACAAAGTGTGGTCACTAAGCGTCGCATCCTACAGCAGGCAAACAGACCGCTGACTGCTGCCGAGTTCGTTGCTCCGTTAGCAAAGATTGACCCTGTGTTTCAGGAAGAAGAAGAGGCCCTCAAGGTAGAGAGGAAATAACCAGTTTTTTATGTTTCCATTGCCTTTGTATGATCAAGTTACCAATTTCATTGTTAGACTTTGAATTATAGTTGCATAACTTTGAAGGTTCACGCTTCAGTTGTTGATTTTTTTTCTCTGACTTTTAAAGAACTGGTATGCAAAGACCCCCTTGGGGAAGAAGAGGATTAAAGCTGCCACAGGAAATGAAGAGGAGGCCCCAGTTAAAGGCAAAGATGCAAAGAAGAAAGGAAAAAAATAAAGTTTATCTTCATGTTTTTATAAAATGTACATGGTGTTAGATATGTATTGAAGATTGTATGTGAATTGCCTCCTGGTGACTTTCCTAATTACCCCCTAGAAAATAAATAAATGAATATTAAACCAATAGCAGTCTTATGATTGTGTTATGATTGGTGTGTTTTTGTCTCTGATAGTTAGCCCTTAAGGGTACGTATTTAAAGATGCAAAGCCTGATGTTAGAAAATATAATGACAAATCCTGTTAAAAACATCAGCGAGCGATCGTTAAAACTTGTTTTGGCAGAAGGCCACAGCTCCAAAGCGTCAAACAGGATTTTGTGTGGTCTATAACAGAAGGTGCTAAGTCCTGTCTTGTGACCATGGTAAAAGGAGTTCCAAGTAGGACACAATCTTACTTTGTTCACAGATAAAATCATAAAGCACACCCTGTACTTTATACCTTGTAAAAAACTACTGAACTGTTTGTGAATGATTTTATGTTGGGAAGGACTCACTAGAAGAATCCTTTCAAACAGTGGCCTGGATCTGATGAACAGACTCCTTTGGCTATAATATTTAGACTCAAGGTCGAGCTGTAATTAGACATGCTAAGCCTAGTCACTAGGTGGAATTTACTCAAGTCTATCTAATATTGTTCTACTGTTTACTGTATGGCTGACTTGCTACAACATTTCTTTATTTATTTCAACATTTGGAATTTTGCTGACACTATGCCATAACAAATAATCATTATCATTTTTCACACAACATAATGAGCTAGTGGCTATTTAGTCTGTGCTCAAAAACAGATGAATACTATCTTCATGTTTTTGAAAAAACATGTATGTTGACCTTTTTTAAATTCCTCTTTATTGACTGCTCTCAGGTGTAGAGAGTCTCAACCAAAGGAAATCTGACCCGTGAGGGGGAGCGTTTCCAAACCAGGATCCAGAGGCTTAAGTGGAGTGTTCAGCTGTTTTGTCGAGTCTAAATTCACTCAACACATCCTCACAATGCCTTAACATCGATCTATTTTTAGCCTTTGTGCAGTATCAATTGGATGCAATGTTAAGTCCTGCATTTCAAGATATCAGGTTGATCTGCTGACCGTCTTTACTGTGGACGTTTGTTTATTTTACGTATTTATTTAAAATGGGACAGTTCACATCAATGAACATAAACATTTAAATATGCCAGATAATTAATTTATTTCCACCTTTAGTCCCTTGGCAAGTTTGTGTTACATGTACACAAATTTACATCACCATAATGACAAGCAAAAAACAAACAATGTCAGAAATTGTACATCAGTTAACAGTAGGGTCAATATTACATTTTCTGTAAAAAACTCTGTTGGGGCATACATACGCAAAAAGTCTTCATGTGTAACTAATTGGAATCCTTCGTTCTCTCAAACGTCCATGAACACTGTGAAAAGCTTTGTAATGAATGAGCCGTCATTCCCCTCTCAGTGACGACAACTTGTTTTTTGTGTCTCATCAGAGCTGCACAGAGATTATCCTGTCAAGTTTCAGTTTCAAGTTTTAGTGGCACATGGAGCTGTCTGTCAAACTCAGGGGAACACAAAGAACATTTTTTGTGTGAATAATATTTTGTATGTAGAGCTTGAGGAAGATGCACTTGCATTCTTCTGCTATGTTCAATTATAATCTGCCTCATGTGTTTGCAGCGTACTCTTAATGTTTTCTTGGTTTTTCTCTGTTGACGTCTGGGCCCCTTGTATGGAGAGCTCAGCCATCATCGGTAGCAGACTTACTCTGATGTCAAGGGAATGGGATATGATGATTAATATTTAGTGACCTTTTAAGTGAAGCAGTGTTGGAAACTCCCTTTGGAGATGTTTGATCTCTTTAAACTAAGATTTAGGACACAGAAGATATGGTAAAGAGCATGTGATTAAATACATCAGCCAAATAATGCAAAATAAATCCTCTATGACTGTCTTGTACCACTTGTTTTAGTAAAAGGGGTCTGCTATAGCTGCCCAAGCAACCTGCAAGTAAATATAATTGTGTTTATGACGTCCACATCCTCATGTTTCATATAGGTAACGCATGCTATCATGTCATTGGCACTAAGCGTGTCTCTCCCTCATTCATTCACAGCAGAAAACCATCAAACACACTGAGCCTATTGTATACATTTTGATTGTTTCTGATTGCTCCATTGATGCTGTGCATGAGTTGCCTCTCATCATTAAAGCCATAGCTATCTTTGTGCTCATACTGACAGAAGGCTATTTTGGAGGTTAGTATGTGGGGAGAGATATGTCAGCTGTTCAGCTCTACCCTCAATCAAAGTGAGAAAAAAAAAGGGAAAGCACCATAGGCTGTCTGCTTTGGGGACTGGGCGAAACTTGGGAATGCTCTCCTTTGGCTAAATGTTTGTTGTTAATCTGAAAGGCTTTGTGAGAAACAAGACAAGACCCCGGACAGATCTGATTGCTATGGTGGATTTTTTTATCAACCTTTTTGTTCCGGTCAAGGTGTCGTGTCTTTGCTATCGATGAAACAAAAGGGCATGGAAGGATTTTTAAAAAAAGGAAATACCTGTGTCATTTGAAGGTAGGTGCATCGCTGCATGTGATCTGGTTTGTGTTGAGTTGTGTTCTTGTGATATTTTGGTGTTTTTACTCGTCATGTCTTTGCATTTTTTTTTTAATGATAGGCTACATGTTAGTTTCATAAAAGGTCAAAGTATTATTGAGTTTCCTATATTTCTCTCGCACTTCTTTCACTTTTTTCAATAGATTTAAAATAAGTATTCTTTTATTACTATTATTTGTTTTTACAAGTCATGTTGGAGAGGATCTCAAGTATACTTCATTTAGATAATGTTTGCAAATTCAGTGTTGTTGTATGACACGCTAAGAAATTGAAGCTGGTGGGCAATAGGAGCTTCAATGACCCTCCTCACTCAAACAACCTAATGCCTTTAATAATAGTGGGAGGAGCCAGCTTTTGAAAAGCATTTCAAGATCTCAAATATCATATCAATCAGTTTAGTAATTGGCAGTTCTGATCTGTCTTTTATAGCTACCCCTTCCTCTCAGTTCAGTGCATGCAGCTTGATGAAGCTGGCATCACAGCTGAGTCTATATTGGTGCTGCTGAGCTCAGGCAAGTGAGGTGACAGAGATTACTCTGCTCTTCATTACTGTGGAGGACTGGCATGCCATCACAGGGATCAACCGTATGAGCTTGATGCCATGTGTATCCATTTTCCCAATGTTACCATTTTTGAAGCGATGGTTTGTATCTTAATTTGCCTGAGAGGAATATATTTTTGCACAAATCGTACAAAACAAGCACAGGGCATGTACTGCAACGAGTTATTTACGGAACACTATCGATGCACCTGAAAGAAGCGCAGAAGCACTGCGAGTTCATGAAGTGTGAATGATTTTGTGGAAGATGATGGCTAAATGGGAATATCCTTTAGAGCTGTGTTCCCAGTCTTTTTTTCTTGGAGCCCTCCCCTCCTAGTATCTGAAAAGTTGAGTCCCAGCCCCGGGACTAACATGAAAACTATTAAAAATAAACTTAAATTTTAATAGTTTTCACTGATAAAATCCTGTCAGAATATTCCAACACACTTGTTCTTACCAAAAGACCTTTGTATAGGCTACATTTCCCAGTAATATTTTAATATTATTATATTTGTTATGTGCAAATCTAATTTTTAAAACCTGCAGACAGAGCCTCACAAACCCCCTAGGGGGTCCGGACCCTAGGTTTGGAACCAGTGCTTTTGAATATAATCAATTACATTTCTTAACTATCTTATGTGCCAGACCATTACCTTTTATATTTTGCTCATTATAGTTGTAGTCTTTCTGTGATAATTGCAGTATTAAGCAACAACAACCCTAAATAAAACTGAGAGAAGAGCTGGAGCCATGGGGGAGAGTATACCTGGAGGAATAGTTGCTGCTGCAAGTAAGTTCTCGACTTACAAAAGTTTGTAATGTTTAGGGTAGTATTTGAAATAGAAAAGACCTCTTGATTCTCTAATAATGTCTGTTTTACTGTGTGCTAGAGAACCGTCTGCAGGTGGTGAAGGGCTTGGAGGATGTAGAGGTGTGTGAATGTGAAAGCTGTCCCTTTGAGGTGACCCTGAACCTGTCCTACATCGAGGGTGTGTGGACCAGAGATGGGATGCAGCTGAAGTCCAAGCCTAACTGCCGAATCAGCACACACGGGAAGAAACACTCGCTCATACTGAAGAGGGTGGCTCTGGCAGACGCAGGCCTGTTCTCTTTTGAGGCCAACGGCATCCAGACCTCAGGCAGACTTACTGTCAGAGGTAAGAAAGTAAAAAAGAGCACTACTTCTATGGCCAACATTTATACTTGTTTGACAGTTGGTCATGTGTTTGGGCCACAAACACTCCACACTAGAATATGTTTGTATTCATGGTCACTGATGAATCTGTGTGATCTATACAAGTTAACATTCTTAATTTTCTTATTGAAATATCTCAACGACTATCAAAAAGTGCTTCTTATTTATTTGTATTTTTTATGGGGCATTTTGTTCCTTTATTGTAGAGATAAGACAGTGGATAGAGTCGGAAATCAGTACAAAAGAGAGTAGAGAATGACATGCGGGAAAGAAGCCACAGTCCGGATTCAAACCTTGCCGCCCGCTTGGAGGACTACAGCCTCTATACATGGGGCACGCACTCTAACCACTGCGCCACCAGCGCCCCAATTGCTTCTAAATTCTGTCCAGGTTTTCAGAGAATAAATTGTGATATTTTTTATATATTTCATCTATTTCATCAATCTAACAAATGTTAGCACGCTAATACACTATGCTAAATTGGTGAGCATGGAACACAAAATAGCTGTTAGTGCTGTGAAATTGTGCCCAGGTAATTATTGTTCGTAGAGGATAAATATTTGAATTCCATGTTTGTGTGACAGTGTTTAAAAACAATAACAAAGAGGAAGACAGACGTGAAGAAAACCAAAACATATTTATTCAAACAAAAATGCAGAAGGCTAAAAAGCATACTCTTTGGGGTGTCCCAAACTCAAATAATATCCAACATAAAATCCATACACTGGGAAAAAAAACAAAATTTCTCAGAGAAATCCACACTAGTCGCTTAGAGACACAAGGAAGGTTTTGACATATTCCAAATTGACACAGTAGGGAAGAAACACAGAGACAAATTAGACACGTTGTTATCAAAACCACATGTGACAGACAAGACAGGTGAAATTGACAAGGCCAATCGAGGAGGAAAACACACACGGGCAGGAAGTAAAATGGAACACAGGGGAACAAATTACAAAATAAAACAAGAACTACAACTTGGCAACAAAACAAGGGAAAAAAAAACATAACGTGAGCCAATCATGACAGTTTTTTGTGTAAAACTGATAAATGTTAGCATGCTTTTGCCCTAAGCTTATTGGTGAACATGGAAAACATCAACATGTTGGTATTCTTAGTATGCTGATGTGAACATTAATCTCAAATCACTTAAATCCAAAAATGGCCTCATACACTTAGACATACACTGCCTTATCAACTTAAGGAATGAAAAAAAACTGAAATTCTTGTGAGAATGTCTTCATGGGACTATTGAATAGGGAAAATTGAATATACGTTTTCTTAGGTTGCTTTAATTAAGTTTAAAGTAATTGTTTGGTTTCCTTCTGTCAGCAAGGGACATCCACATAGTGAAGGAGCTGGAGGATGTCGACACAGTGGAGCGTCAGCTTGTGAACTTCCTGTGTGAGGTCAACCAGGTAGACTTGGATGGTCGGTGGTACAGAGATGACTGCCGAATTCGACCTGGGGACAACATCAAAATAAGACATCAAGGTAAGAAACTAACCACATTGGCTTTACAGAAACTACAGCATACAGAGTATAAATACCCAAATCTACTTGCATCATAGTACACTCAACTTTGCCAAGAAGCCCCTTTTTTTTGACGGGTCATAGTGCAGCAGGTGAAAACGTATAAAGAGGACATTTTAAAGCTTTCTAAATTCAATACATAAAACAAAGGATTTTTCTTTGATCTGATTGCAGGTAAATCTCACACCCTGATGTTCAAGTCAGTCAGGCCAGCGCATGCCGGAGAGATCAGATTCACTGCAGAGCGTGTTTCATCCTATGCAACTCTCACAGTACAAGGTGAGTCACAATAAAGGTTATATCCAATTTCAAATGGACCTATGATATTCAAGTCATCAAACCACTTGGGTATTAAACTAATTTTCCCCCTCCTACAGAGCTCCCAGTCCAAATACTGCGTCCTCTGAGGGTCAAGATAGCCATGTATCGCCACAGAGGTCTGCTTGAGTGCCAGGTGTCACGGCCAAATGCTCAGGTCAGGTGGTACAAGAACAGGAAGGAACTCCTGCCCAGTAAGAAGTACCAGCTGATCAGCCAGGATGTCTACAGGCAGCTCACCATTGACAACGTCTGCTCCTCAGACGAGGACACCTACACCTGTGATGCAGGAGATGACACGACCTCCTGTCAGCTTCTTGTGGAGGGTAAGATGCTGTCACTGTCATCATATCGGTCTCAATGTCAACCAAGAGTGTTCTTCTGTAATGTTTGAAAGAGGTGAGCTTTTTCAGTACTGGTAGGTGTATTATGTGTATTATTGCTGTTCATGCAGAGCAGGCTATCAAAATAGTGCGGGGAATGAGCTCAGTGGAGGTGATGGAGCCGGAGCCAGCTCTGTTCCAAGTGGAGACCAGCCTGAAATCAGGAAGGCCCCCTCGCTGGACCCTGAATGGTGAAGTGTTGGAACCCAGCGGAGCAGTGAACATTGACAGGGAAGGCACCCTCCACAGCCTCCTGCTCACCTCCACAGAAAGCTCCATGTCTGGCCCTGTGCTCTTTGTAGCTGGCAAGAGTCGTTCCACTGCTCAGCTTGTTGTCAAGGGTGAGTTAACTAAACCTGGTCTGAGAATAGAAAAAAAATCCTGTAGAATAAAACCTCAGAAAACAGAAGAACAGAATGTGTTTTTTGTTAAGCTTAATTCTGTAGGGGAGGTGTCAGATGAAGTGATTAACCTCATGCTGCCAAAACAGCCTTTATTGACTTTTAGCACTGCAAGGATTCATGACGAGTGATACAGATGACTGGTAAAAGACAGCAGGGTGATATTTTTGTTAAAAAAAAAAAAAGAAAGAAAATAACACTACTTGAAAAGCTATGTACACGATCAGCAAAGAGACAAGATGTACTATATCCACAGGGAGCACCAACTTTGAAAAAACAGAAAGTTCCTAACAGGAGCTTTAACAAACACTTGTAGCTGCATAAATGTAAATTACAGTTTGTTATCAGACATCTGTTTAATGTTTGTGTTCTCTTTATTAATTCCCAATAGGAGATTTAAAATAAAATGTTGCTGTTGTGAGTAAGATAACATATGTCACTGACTTGAAAAAGTATTTAAAGGCTCTCATATCAACTTTATGTGGCAAAAGCTTCCATATTATTGGAGCCAAGCTCTATCTTTGTGTATCCTGGATGGGTGGTATGTCAGTACAGCAATATTTTTCTAACTTTTGAAAGCCACTTTGCAGTTAGATTGCATTTGGATCTTAAAAGAGCATCCCTAAAAGCTGTGTCAGGGCTGTAAATGACTGTGTGAGCCCAGCAACAGACTGCCAACATTTCTGGACATATATGCTTAAAAGTCATATATTCTGTGTGTGGTACTTCAAAGGGCAAGGTTTGTAAGTGAATGAATATATTACTTATAACAAGTGTCTCATAAATTTGCTTACCTCTCTGCCACCTAGAGCGTCCACTTCAGGTTACCCAACACTTGGACAATGTAGAGGTGAAGGAGAACAGCTCAGTGACTCTGAGCTGTAGGTTCGCTCCCTCTCCCAGGGTGGTGCGTTGGTTTAAAGGTCGCACAGCTCTGAAGACCTCCAACAAGTACAGCATGAGGAGAGAAGGGAAGCGAGCAGAGCTGACCATTCATGGCTTGACAGGGATGGATGCAGGACAGTACCGCTGCGTGGCAGGAGGTTCACAAAGTACAGCACATGTTAATGTAGAAGGTGAGTTCACCATTGATATTGAGAAGTTGTGTTGGAAACCTTTCTGTATTCAATTTTATTACAATAAATTCATTTATTTGGAAAATGAACTTCCTTTTTTTACAACAGTAAAAACCCTGAAGTTGGTGAAACACCTTGAACCCGTGGAAATTGAGGAGGATGGCATTGCCACATTCTCATGTGAGCTCAACTATGTGGTAGCCAACGTCGAGTGGCTGGTCAACAACATTCGCCTCTATTCTAACGCAATAAACCGGATCCAGCACATGGGCACTATGCACAGCCTCATAATCAAGAAGCTGCGGCCACAGCACAGCAGGGTCACCTTCAAAGCAGGCCTGCTCTCTGAGACAACCACCTTAAATGTCAAAGGTCAGCCTGGAGAATTATTAACATATAAGATTGGAGTTTCTTCTACTTCCACTAATTCTATTTGTTTACTTCTGAGAGAAATTCATCCTTTGAATTGTAAATTTGACTCCAGAGCGCCCAGTGGTGTTCCTGAGGTCTTTGGAGGATGTATCAGGAGAGGAGCAAGGAGAAGTGTGTCTGCAGTGTGAAATTTCAAAAGAGACTGTGACCCCTGTTTGGAGGAAGGATGATATGGTCCTGACTGCGGATGATAAACATGAATTACTCCAGTTTGGGAAATCCATGGCGCTGATAATTCATTCCCTGAGCAAGGATGATGCTGGACAGTACACCTGCGATTTGGGCACCAGCCAGACGAAGGCGAAAGTAACTGTACATGGTGAGTGGGTTGGAAAAGTTTGGTATTTGGAGCGACCCTTGACAAGCTGTAGTAACATTATGGAATATTTGTTTGCAGACTTACACATCACGATAATTCAGCGTATGAAGACAACATCTGTCCTGGAGGGTGAAAGCTGTACTTTTGACTGTCAACTCTCTCATGATCTCGATGATGAGCCTTCCTGGGTCATCAATGGCGAGGCCGTGGTCACAAATAGCCGTATCCAGGTTATCAACAATGGCCGCAAGTATCGGTTGACCATAAGAGATGCTGTTTTGACTGACGCTGGAGACGTGATCTTCACCTTGAAAGATCTTAGCTGTAGGACTATGCTGTTTGTCAAAGGTAACTCGGGTGAAATGATAAGCAGTTTCATTTCAAAACATGCTTTTCTTGCATATGTATTTGTGCATATAGTGTAAGTCTAAATATGACTTAATGTGATGTTCCTGTTTGTAGAGAAGCCGGTACATATCTTCAGGGAACTGTTGAATGTCAAGGCGGTGCCGGGCGAAGACGCAGAGCTGAGCTGTGAGATCACCAAACCAGATGTTACGATCCGTTGGCTGAAAAACGGCCATTTGATCAGGCAGAGTCCTAAGTATGAGATAAGTGTGGAGAAAAACCTGGCACGATTGTTGATCAAGAACACCACAATCAGAGACTCTGGAGAGTACTGCTGTGAGGCTGAAGGTGTGGCTTCACGAGCAAAGCTGGAGGTCAGAGGTAGGTGAGGGCTTCCAAAAATAGTTATTTAACTATTCAGCTGTGAATTGCACAATGTATTGTGTTTTGACTGTAGAGTGTTGTGTAAATTAGTGCTGCCTTCTATTTTTTGTCATGTTTTGCCAATGCTGATCTTCCACTGCATTACTAAATGTAAAACTTGACAACATTTCCCGACTTCCTTTTTCCTTACAGACCTCCAGCACACGTTTGCGCGGGAGTTAAGGGAAACACAAGCAGAGGAAAAGGGTAAAGTGACCCTAGAGTGTGAGACTAGACGGCCAGCCAAACGCGTGACCTGGCTGAAGGGCATGGTGGAGCTGAGGTCTGGGAGGAAGTATGTCATCAGGCAAAAAGGGGTCCTGCTGTCCCTGACCATCACCTGCCTGGAGAAATCAGACACAGACATTTACATATGTGATGTTGGCACCATGCAAAGCCGGGCACAGCTCACAGTGCAGGGTGAGGACGAAGCGGAGGGAACACTGGGCTTTGCATCATTGTTTTTAACTGTGTTCATTTTCAAACAGCTGGGACCAAGAACGTTTGGTTAAATACAATGTGGCTGGAGCAAATACTGAACAGTTTAACTACCAATTCAGTTGTAATAGAGATTTAGGAATATATTGTTGAGGTTACTAAATGATGAATTGATTTACAAATTAAAATCTTAAGAATGACAAAATGAATACACATGCAAGATCTCACATGGATTATATGGCTGAATAGAAGTTATTGACTCATAGCCAAATAAAAAGGAAATATTAATAGAAGTATTTTTTTCAAGGCTCTAAATTGTTCAACTCATTTATTTAATAAAAGTTACAACTAGTACACAAATACTTGAAATGAGCAAAATAGTGCATACTTACGCATAGCTAGGCTATAATTCTTTGCCAAAATGACCCAAAACAATAATGCTAGAGTTAAGACAGTATCTGCATTGTCACTACCTGGCTAATGACTCTGTGGTGTGGGACCAGGTGACCTTTGCCCCCTTCATCATACCCAGGCTCCTGTTGAAGGTGGCAATGGTGTGTGGTGGCTAGTAAGGGCCATGTGGAGGTTATGTAACTTATGACTATAAGGATGAGGGGTTTCTTCAATGAGTAAGCACTGTTCTTTAGGGCATTAGTATCTTAATTTTATCACGTCACCAAAACCTTGCATACTAACCATGGCCACTAATGCTAGGCTACATTTTTTTCCAAAATGACCTCAAACAATGATGCTTAAGTTTTTTTTTTTATCATTGAATGTATGATAAGGAAGATGCAAACCTTTTGAACTAATAAAGATGTTTATTAATTGTTCTTGACTTAATCTTTATAAGGATTATGGGATTTTGTATCTATCTTTTCCATGTTTTCCATTTTGCTTCAGGGCAGAAGGTGTTGATCTTGGATGAGCTGGAGGATGTTGAGTGCCTAGAGGGCGACACTGTCACATTCAGGTGTCGAATTTGTCCAAGTGACTACATTGGGATAAAGTGGTACCTGGACGAGACCCTGTTGTACACCAATGAGCTCAATGAGATCCAGATGCTGCCTGGAGGCTACCACAGCCTCACATTTAGACAGCTTGCCCGCAAAGACACCGGCACTATTTCGTTTGCTGCAGGGGACAAGAGATCGTATGCTTCGCTGCTGGTTCGAGGTGAGGCTTTCATTTTCCGGAGAGTTCTGGAATTTTTTGGTCACATTTAATTTAATTTTGGATTCACATCTTTTATTCTTCCAGAGAGGCGTCCCACCATCATTAAAGCACTGGAAGACTGTGAAGCTATTGAAGGAGGTGGTTTGGTTTTGTCTTGTGTGACCTCCAAGCCGTGTCACATCCTGTGGTACAAAGATGGCTGTCTGATGTGGAATTCCTCCAGGTATTTTGCCACTCGTTCTGTCTGCGAGGCCCGACTGACGATTCGGGAGGTCTGCAATAATGATGCTGGAGTGTATGAGTGCAGTGCAGGCTCTGTTACAACCAGGGCTGTTGTAACTGTCAAAGGTATGGAAAGCATTTAATACTTAATGCTGACGAATATCAAAAGTGTAAAGGATGTCATCGATATATGAAAACACACAATTCTGCTTTTTATTGCTTGTTTTGTGACTTATGTTTCTCATCTTCATTGTCTGTTTTTAGCCATCCCAGCAGAGTTCACCCAGCCTCTAAAGGCCATGGATGCCAAAGAGGGGGAGACAGTGATACTGACTTGTGAATACTCTCTGCCTGGGGTGCAGTTCCACTGGTGGAGAGGTTTTGAGAGCATCAGGGCTGGAGACAAGTTTATGATGAAACAGAGAAAGACCATAAATTCCCTAACAATCAAAGCTGTGAAGCCTGTGGACTCAGGAGAATATTCTTGTCAGTGCAGGGATCACCGCACAACAGCAAGCCTCAAAGTACACGGTATGTCTCTTAACTTTTCCGTACCTTTATGTGCATTTTTTCATACCTCAGTTTACCAGAGTCACTTTTATGCTCTTTAATCTCAACACATATTTGGGATTCACACTGAACTGTCACAGATTTGTTGTTGGTATTCAATCACATTTAGCCACTTGTCATGAACAGCAGCAAACAGAGGCAGTCACAAACACCTTTAAACTAGGACAAACAGAAAATAATCCCTCATTCTACTCTCAGATCTGCATACTTAAAGCAATTATTTGGTTCTGTAGCTCCTGTATGGTGCTGGAAATTAGCTAGCATAGTTTTTATTCATAGCACATCAATATTTAAACCAGTCGTGTGAATGAATCTCCCATTTCACATTGCTCTAAGCACTACTTATTAAAAAAAATGATTGCCTTTTGTTTTCCAGCTGTTCCCATTACATTCATACAGCTTTTGAAGAACATGCAAGCAGAGGAGGGAGTCAATGTCATATTGCGCTGTGAACTGTCCAAACCTGGACTTCCAGTAGAATGGAGGAAGGGACAAGAGCTGTTGAAGAATGGGGTAAAGCACCAGATAAAGAAAAGAGAGACCACCCAGGAGCTTCTGATATGGAAGCCTTTGCCTGAGGACAGTGGGATCTACAGCTGTGTGTGTGCTGATCAGATGACATCTTCCACTGTCAAGATCACTGGTAGGTTGACGGCAGCAGTTTTGAGTATTCAAAATGAAAAATATAGCCGATGATTCTCTATAATTACTTATCTCACCACTAGCTCTTCCAGTCACCTTCAAGCAGAAGCTGAGGAACATGCAAATTGAGGAGGGCAACACAGCGACTTTACGCTGCGAGCTGTCCAAACCTGGTCAAAGTGTGGAGTGGAGGAAGTCAGGGAATGAACTAATAAGAAATGGAGAAAAGTATCAACTGAGGCAGAGAGACATGCTGATCGAACTGAGGATCTATGATGTGACACTTGAGGACAGCGATATCTACACATGCATCTGTGAAACATAGAGACCACTGCAACACTGACTGTAAATGGTGAGTGATTGTTTTAAGTTATTTAAAGCTCCTGTGAGGAACTTTTGGTGGGTGACAATTTGGTGCCCCGTGTAGTCAAAGCTGCTTTTGTAATTAATTAAGAGACATCAATTTAAATTTAAGTATAAAATCCAATCACAGCGATGTTTCCTTGACCAAACAAGTAGGTCGGCTACAAAATTACACTATAGTGCAAAATATCAGGCTCACTCAAATTTCCCTATAATATTAAAATTCTTCCTGTCAAGCCCTGTGACTCCTCTTATCTTCTCATGACCCCACTTCCTCTGTCAGCTCTTCCCATCACTTTCAAGCAAAAGCTGAAGAACCTCCAAGTGGAAGAGGGCCACAACATCACATTGTATTGTGAGGTATCTAAACCTGGCGTCCCAGTTGAGTGGAGGCTTGGAGGAGATCTGTTGGAGAATGGAGAGAAGTACCAGATTAAGCAGAGGGACACCAACCTGGAATTGATCATCAGAGATGCTGATCCAGAGAATAGTGGAGTCTACACCTGTGTGTGCAGAGAGCAGAGGACTAAGGCAACCATTAAAGTTATTTGTATGTTGAATGTTTGCATACTCTTTTTTTTCTTTCCTTATTTACCCTATTTTGGAAATTTACAAAGTTGCCTGTACAGTGATTCTTAAATGTTTTAGCCTGTATTCTTCTGTGTATGTGTAAATAGTAACTGTTTCCGTGTCTATAGCGGTTCCTGCCACATTTAAAGTTAGCCTGAAGAGCCAGGAAGCTGAGGAGGGGAAGAGTGTGACATTACACTGTGAGCTGTCAAAGAAGGGAGTCCCAGTTCAGTGGCAGAGAGCTGGTCAGTTGCTGACTGAAGAGATATTTCGAGAAAAATACAAGATGGAGCAAGCAGGAAAGACAGCTCAGATGACCATTTTCAATTTGCAACCTGAGGATGCTGGGAAATATAGCTGTGTCACAGGAGATGAAAAAACCACAGCTGAAGTCAAAGTGAAACGTAAGTTGGAAATGTCCACATCAGTCAAATAAATGACATACCTGTGTCCCATGTTCGCTGTGCATTACATTTAAACCAATGAATTTAATTTTCTGTCCTTGTAAATGTTAATATAGATGTAAGTTGTAACCCCTGATCGTTGAGAAGTCCCACTCAGCAGTTTTAGTATACCTTTATACTTAAGTTGTTCATTGTGTAGCAATATATATCTACAGATCACATTGGATTTAGATGTATAATCACACTTCATAATAGAGTTAAAATTCCATATCCCATACCTGATATTAATTGTGAGATGTTTTAATCGCTTTGAGGAGACCAGAAGCAGACAAATGTAGGTGTCCCTTTCAGTTAGTGGATACGTCAGGTTGCCAGTCTATGAGTTAATAATTTTGAGTTTATTCTAATAAACCCTCACAGCACTTCCTGTGTCATTCAAACGAGAGATCCAGAGCATGGAGGTGAAGGAAGGAGACAGTGGAGTTTTCTCTGTGAGCTCTCCAAACCTGGAGCTCCAGTGGACTGGAGGAAAGGCAGAGCGATCCTTAAGCCTGGAGAGAAGTATGAGATGAAGCAGGAGGGACGTCTCACTAAACTGATCATCAACAATGTAGAGGAGAGTGATGCTGGCAAATATAGCTGCAAGACAAAAGACAGCCAATCAACTGCTGAGCTCACTGTACAAGGCAAGAGAAAAGTCAAATAATATGTCTAATACCAGAAATTTCGGACTTATTCTTTTGTTAAGCAAAAATCTTCATCTGTTTTTTATCTTATTTTCCGAATGTATGCAACAGAATCAGCTGAGCGGAGACGTCAACGAGGTCAGCTCTAGTGTAGTACAATAAAAAGACAGTAGATTTAGTGCGTGTTAGCACTGTGTGAACTCCATTTTGTCATTTCACTTAAGCTGAATTGGGTAATTACTTTTCCATATCTTTTCATTTAGTTTGTTGTCCTGCTTATTGCCAAATGTACAATACACTGTGTAATGTACATTTCTGCGCACAAGCTTGGTGAAAACATAAATGTAGAGTCATTTCATAAACATACATCCCAACAACGGTGACTAAACTCTAGTACTAGAATGAGCTTTAGTGTTTCATTTTTGATTACTGTCTCGTGCCAGAGAAAAGTACTTATTTTGTGACTTGAGGACAGAACATCACAGACTGTAATGGATTGTCATATAATCCATTCAACAGTTGAGTTTAAACTGAATGGTTTGTTGTGTTGGGAAATTAAATATAAGCATGACAGATTTTCTTCTCTGCACATCCCATCAACAATGAATCTTTCATGCGATATTCATTGAGTTCACTGTCACTGTTCAGATAAAGACGTGTGTTTCAAATCCAGTTTGTTGATATCTGCATAACCAGATTTTGTTAGTTTGTTTCCCCTTTAGCCGATTTTGTTCAGAAGAGCCTTCTTGGTCAAGCTTTAAGATTTATGAATTATTAATCCAATACATTTTCTTAGAAGCCTGAGTCACTTGGCTGTGGCTCAAGCATTGTATTGTTGCTTAGGTGGTACTGAAGGAGTCTTATTGTTGGCTGTTCGGTCCCTAGCCCTTCTTCTGACATGTCAGACATGTTCTCTGTTGATAGGTTTACCACCAAGTTTTAAGTTGCCACTAACTGACCAGGAGGCGACTGAGGGCAACAGCATGGTCCTGCACTGTGAGCTCGACAAACCTGCCCTCGCAGTGGAGTGGAGGAGAGGTACAGAGCTGCTGAGAAATGGAGACAAATACCAAATGAGGAAAAAGGACCTGCTGGTGGAAATGAAGATATCAGAGCTCAGTCTGGACGACACTGGAGATTATACCTGTATATGTGGAGATCAAAGGACCAAAGCTGTGGTCAAAGTAAATGGTGAGTACTTCAGAAGCAAACAGAACAGTTACATCAGGGCTTTCCAACTTCAACAGCAATAGGGCCACATAGTACAAGCTCAGGTGTTGTGGGGGTGTGGGGGGAGGGGGCTGATGCAGGCCACAATAAAATTGTCAACTAATGGCTACAAGGCTCTTACACTTACCATATTACAGATTTGTATTATCATACATTCTTTGTCAACAGTAGTTGTATATACAAGATGGCGAGCCATTGGTAGTTTTTAATTTAAATTTAAATTTAATATTTCTTTTATGACATCTCAGTCTTCATAATGGCCTTTGTAATTGGCTGAACTTTAATTTTTTTATTTTTGGGGGGGCTTTTCATACCTTTATCCGGAAGGTGGGAAAGTGAATAGAGTAGCAAACTGTGAAGAGAGAGTGGGGAATGCCATGTGATAAAGTACAGAGGTTGGAGTCAAACCTTGGTCCCCCGCTCCTTGGACCATAGCCTTTGTACATGGGATACACAGTGTAACCCCTCAGCTCACTGGTGCCCCACTTGCCAGAACTTTAAACAGTATTGCTTGTACTATTGCTTTGGCTACTGAACTTATATTTAGGTCTGTGATAAGATGCCAGAGGTAGTAAATTGTGTTAAATGTGAATGTAAAACATATCAAAAAAGTTTCTATTTCTTCTGCCTCAGAGCGACCAATCAGATTTCTTCAGGAACTGAAGAATATTCAGGTGCAGGAAGGCAATGGAGTGGCACTCTGCTGTGAGCTCTCCAAACCCGGCATTCCAGTTCAGTGGAAGAAAGGAGACAAAGTGCTGACCAATGGAGAGAAATACCAGATGAAACAGAGCGGCTTCACCATGGAGCTCCTCATCAGAAAAAGCCAGCCTGAGGACAGTGGCACATACAGCTGTGTTTGTGATGACATAAGGACCGCTGCCACTATCATCATCACCGGTGAGAGACAGTTCTTGTTATTTAAGAGAAACACTTTGCTTTGGATATCTGAATGCTTTATACCGTGATTTCTGTGTCTTTCTTGCTTGTCTGTCCACAGCAATCCCTGTAACTTTCAAGCAAAAGTTGAAGAACCAGGAAGCTGTGGAGGAGGGCAGTGTCACACTTCGCTGTGAGCTTTCTAAACCAGGAATCACAGTCGAGTGGAGGAAAGCTGCTCAACTTCTGAATGAGGGAGAAAAATACCAGATGAAGCAGGAGGGCAGGATGGCTGAGATGCTGATCAGGAATTTAAGTCTTAAAGATGCTGGGGAGTTCAGCTGTTTTGTTGGCTCTGTTGTGACATCAGCTGACATTAGAGTAAGAGGTATGCTTCACGATAGCCACATGAAGATACATTTCTGTTCAGCACAGAGAGAAAAACCTTTACTAAAAATTAAACCCGAAATAAAAAATTGAGAGTGAGAGGAATGTATTTCCATTTTCCACTTTGCCTTATACATTGTTGTTTTTTTTATTTCCAGCAATTCCTGTAACATTTAAAAAAGATGTGGAGAATTTGGAGGTGAAGGAAGGCGACAGTGGAGTTTTCTGCTGTGAGCTCTCCAAACCTGGAGCTCCAGTGGACTGGAGGAAAGGCAGAGTGGTCCTCAAACCCGGATACAAATATGAGATGAAGCAGGAGGGGCGTCTCACTAAACTGATCATTAACAACGTAGAGGAAAGTGATGCTGGGAAATATACCTGCAAGACTGATGACAGCCAATCATCTGCTGAGCTCACTGTCAAAGGTAGGAAAGAGATCCCATGCTTTAAACAGGACATTCTCTTTGATTTCATTGAGTTTTTTTTAGAATTGCAAGAACACAATAAGGGAAGCAGTTTTTTTTTTTAATTGAATAGGCAGAATAACCAGGCCATGGTTGTCTTTGCAGCTCCTCCCATCACATTCAAGACAAAGTTAAAGAGCCAGCAGGTGGAGGAGGAGAACAGCGTGACCATGAGCTGCGAGCTGTCGAAGCCTGGCCTTTCTGTAGAGTGGAGGAAAGGACAAGAGCCACTGAAGAATAATTTCAAGTACCAGATTAAAAATCGAAATTGCATAATGGAGCTTACCATCAAAAACTCACAGCTTGAGGACAGCGGACTTTACAGCTGTAACTATGGTGATGTCAAGACCACAGCCAACATCACCATTACACGTAAGAGAAGATTTTAAACTTTTTGAAAAAGAACTGACGTTTAAATGACAAAAAGTGAAAAAAGTAATAATATATATTTTAATAACAGCATAAAGCTCAACCACCAACAACTTTACTTTTTTAGTCATTCCTTTTTAAATTATTACATTTTGTTTTCTGAATACAGTTCTTCTTAAAGAATGGCCAATTGTATCTGCTTTAAAAAAAACAAATTACATTAATTTAGCGTTAGACAGCTTGACATTAAATATCAAAAAAACACAAAATCGGTGTCTCCACAGCTATCCCCCTCACCTTCAAAATGGGTCTGAAGAACCAGGAGGCCCCTGAGGGAGGCAACGTGTCCCTTCGCTGTGAGCTGTCGAGGGCCGGGGTGCCTGTGCACTGGTGGAAGGCGGAGGACCAGCTTTATCACGGGGGAAGATATCAGATGACGCAGAAAGGGAATATAGCTGAGATGCACATCAAAAACATCCAGCCCGAGGATGTCGGGGAGTACAGCTGTGTCCTGGGAGAGCAGAAGACAACGGCTGAAGTCAACGTGAGAGGTAACAGACGTGCTGTTGTCATGCAAGCAGCTATAGTTAACATGGGAATTCTGGGAAGTCTGAGATCAGGTTAGGTGTATGGTAACAACTGCTATAACCTACAGTTGATAAGTGTAACTATATCCTGTATAGATGCACTGTTGCAATAAAATGCAAAGTTATTTTTGCCTTGTTGCCTCATCAGTGCTGGGGAATCTGCTGATGTACTGTTGATTTCAAAGTGCAGCCGCTGTTATTTGGCATTATTATAGTAATAATACAGTATCAGATAGACTCCATTATCCACTTGTTTGTTCCTATTTAACATGACTCTCATCATTTGAGAATTATCATTCCAAAATCTCCACAAATAATATGAATCCTACAATCACACGAGTAAATCTGTTGGCTGATAACGTGGTATACCCCCAATACCTGCTTAATACCACTGATGAATTGGAGTGCATGTTCTTTCCTAAATAAACACAGGATCCTGATTTGTTATGATAACTAGATCAGATTTTGGTTAAGAATTTAGACTTTTGTAACAAGTTCCCTCCTTTCCTTCTTTTTACCAGCGGCAGCATCGGTGTTCTTTGAGAAGGAATTGGAAAACCAAGCGGTGATGGAAGGGAAATCTGTGTTACTGTCTTGTGAAGTTTCCAGCGCTAATGTTCCTGTCACTTGGAAGAAGGATAACACAACGATAGAGGAAGGAGGGAGATACATTTTAAAGAAGAAAGGCCCAACACACACTCTGGAGATCAAGAAACTGTGTCTGGAGGACGCTGGAGAGTACTGCTGTATCAGCAGAGGCAAGAAGACAACTTCCAAGCTGATAGTGAGGGGTATGTGGATACTACAGAAGACTTTATCCCTTTATTTACAGATGTTAGATTTGTTGTTGTACTAACCACAATGCTGTTCTCACCTAATATGTTGAAAATAAATCCCATTCCATCTCTAAAAAGCCAGCTGTATAGCTTCCTCTTCTTCCACAGAGCGCGTGCGGATTGTTACGCTGCTCCACGACATAACAGTGACGGCGGGTGAGGATGCAACATTTGTGTGTGAGCTGAGCCACGCAGATGTGAGTGAGGGCGTCTGGTGGCTAGGCTCCAGCCCTCTCCAGAAGAATGAAATGAACCAGATGACCTGCCAGGGTCATCAGCATCGACTGGTCCTCACCATGACAACACCTGAGGAGACTGGCACTGTGGCTTTTGTGATTGGGGAAGAGAGGACCTCTGCAAGTTTGCTAGTTCTACTTAGGCCTAAAGGTAAAAAGCAACATTAGGGATCTAAGACGTTGATAAGAAGAAGAATAAGAAGTCATTTCCTTTGAAGCACTCAAATGAATATAACATTCTTCCATTCTAGTCTTATTTGAGGAGAAGCCTCAAGATGTTGTGATCATGGAAGGAGAAACAGCCACTTTGTCCTGCAAGACCTCTGATTTAACCTCCCTGGTTACCTGGAGGCGCAACCACATCCCCCTCCGACATGGTGATAAATATGAACTACTTAAGGAGGGAAACATTAACCTACTACTCATCCATGATGTGGATCCCTTGGATACTGGCATATACTCTTGTGATACAGGAGATGAGCAAAGCAATGCCAAACTTACTGTGACAGGTAAAAGTGTATAATGTTGTTTAAAGGTGGTGGATTGATGTTCACTGTTTTACCCGTGTTATATGAACAGGAACTACATTTAGCAGATTATACTAGGAAATAAACTTACTACACAAAATGCGTCAATTCCTGTTCTTCTCCCATATTTCCATAGAACTCCCTCCATGCTTCTTAGAAGAATTACAGAGTCTAGAAGTTGAAGAGGGAGGTTCAGCTTCTCTGTACTGTGAGCTTTCTAAACTTGGAGTGCCGATTCAATGGAGGAGGAACAGACTGCCAATAACAGCTAGCAGAAAGTACAAGATGCAGCAGGATGGCTGCCTCCTCCAGCTCCTCATCAAGGATCTCAAACTTGAGGACAGTGGCAGCTACACATGTCAAGCAGGAAGTGCGGAGACCACTGCAACTGTTACAGTGAAAGGTTTGAGTGTTTTTGTATTAACATCTAACCCGTTACCTGTTGTGTAGAGAGATGTAACATTGTACTTCCAAACCCATTTTCTTAGAGCTCCCTCCATTCTTCAAGAAGGAACTTAGAGGCGTGGAAGTCGAGGAGGGGAGTGCAGCCACCCTGTGCTGTGAGCTGTCAGGTCCTTTTGAATCGGTGAAATGGAAGAAGAACAGACTACCCCTGAAGGCTAGCAGGAAGTATGAAATGAAACAAGATGGCTGCCTCATACAGCTCCACATCAAGGATCTCACACCTGAGGACCGTGGAAGCTACACATGTCAAGCAGGGAGTGCAGAGACGACGGCAAACGTGTCCGTAAAAGGTGTTTGTTTTCAAAGTATTACATGGCTTTCAGCTTTAACTCAAGAAGGCTACATGAACGTTATTCCTACCATTTATTTGGGCCTTACTTGCTTATTTCTGGATTGTTACTTCTTTTTGACTTAAGACACATTTCTTCATTAGTCCCTATTCTTCCTGATATTTTCCAGAGCTCCCGCCATTTTTCAAAGAAGAATTGCTTAATGTGAGACTTGATGAGGGAGGTACAGCCTCTCTGCACTGTGAGCTGTCTAAGCCTGGAGTGTCAGTACAATGGAAGAAGAACAAACTTCCACTTAGAGCTAACAGGAAGTATGACATGAAGCAAGATGGCTGCCTCGTCCAGCTCCACATCAAGGACCTCACACCTGAGGACAGTGGAAGCTACACATGTCAAGCAGGAAGTGCAGAAACAACAGCAACTGTGACAGTAAAAGGTTGTCTGTTTGGACATTGTTATATTTCATTCTAAGTAGTGTGCAAGCATTAAACAATTCAAATAATTATCAACTGAATTTTCTGAAACTCATGTATCACAAATACCGTCCAGATCACATTCGGCCTTATCTTACAAGTCTGGTAAATTTAGTGACTGTAATTATGAAACATTTATTTTTTGTGAGTCTTAAACATTTTATATTTCACAGAGCTCCCACCATATTTTAAAGAGGAAATGCAAAATCTGAAGGTCGAGGAGGGAGATACAGCCACTCTGTACTGTGAGCTGTCAAAGCCTGGAGTGTCAGTGCAATGGAAGAAGAACAAGTTAACGCTGAGAGCAAACAGGAAGTATGAGATGTGGCAGGATGGCTGCAACCTCCAACTTCACATCAAAGAGCTTACACTTGAGGACAGTGGCAGCTACACATGTCAAGCAGGACAGGAAGAAACAACTGCAACCATTACAGTGAAAGGTTTGTGTGTTTCATGAATATATGACTTGAATAGAGGATGTTAGTATAAGATATATTTGTATTTATTGTAAGGCACTTTTGCTGTTCTTCTCTGGTCTGTCTGTTAGTTAAGCATTACAGTAGTCCAAAAAGCTATAATAACTCTGTTCTGTTGAGATGTTATGAACATATCACATTATATTATAGATACAAAATAAAGTTATCCGTGCCTTTTCTGTCCAGAACTCCCTCCATTCTACAAAAAAGACTTGGAAAGTGTAGAGGCTGATGAGGGAAGCACTGCCACTCTGAACTGTGAGCTGTCTAAGCCTGGTGTATCAGTTACCTGGAAGAAGAACAAGCTGCCACTGAGAGCCAACAGGAAGTATGAGATGAAGCAGGATGGCTGCCTCCTCCAGCTGCTCATAAAGGATCTTAAACCTGAGGACTCTGGAAACTACACTTGTCAAGCAGGAAGTGCAGAGACCACTGCAACTGTGACAGTGAAAGGTGTGTGCATTTAACAGTGAACGATCCTGTTTTTGCTCTACATGCTTTAACTACAAAAAAACTGCAATTAAGCATTTTAACTTAAAAACTTGTTGAAAAGTGTTGACAATGTCTGCTCTGCAAGACACAAATGCTTCTGTTTGTTGGGAACATATTTCCATTCACATGAACAGTTATGTGTATATTCAATATTAACCCTTTTTTGCAGAGCTAGAACTATTCTTTAAAGAAGAATTACAAATTTGGAGGTCGAGGAGGGAGGTAGTGCCTCTCTGTACTGTGCTCTGTCTAAGCCTGGGGTAACAGTAACATGGAAGAAGAATAAGGTGCCATTAAGAGCTATCAGGAAGTGTGAAATGAAGCAGGATGACTGCCTCCTCCAGCTGCTCATTAAGGATCTCAAACCTGAGGACAGTGGAGATTACACTTGTCAAGCAGGACATGTAGAGACTTCTGCAACTTTGACAGTGAAAGGTTTGTGCATTTGCCATCAATGAATACAGTGTTTCTTTGCATACATTTAGCCATATATCAAACCTTCCCACGATAAGTAAGAAGCTACTATGTAGATCAACCATTTACATTGTTATATATCTTAAAATTCTAGACAATGTTTTGTTATGTGCAAAATGCACTTTCTCCTATTTGTAAGGTGAAAACAGTCTTTGATTTTTTTTTAACATGAATGATAAGTTTTTGTTTTCAATCTGTACCCATTCTTGCAGAGCTTGCACCATTCTTTAAGAAAGAATTACAAAGTGTGGAGGTCGAGGAAGAAGGTACAGCCTCTCTGTACTGTGAGCTGTCCAAGCCCGGAGTGTCAGTACAATGGAAGAAGAATAAGGTGCCATTGAGAGCTAACTGGAAGTATGACATGAAGCAAGATGGCTGCCTCATACAGCTCTGCATCAATGATCTCACACCTGAGGACAGTGGAAGCTACACATGTCAAGCAGGAAGTGAAGAGACCACTGCAACTGTGAGAGTGAAAGGTTTGTCTGTTTGGTAATAAAAAACAAGTGTTAGCGATGTACTGTATGCATTCAAACACTGTGAGATTAGAAGAATTTCTGATTGTCTTAACCTTCTGAGTGGCACTGAACTACTATTACAGACCAAAGTTATATTATAAGTTTACTGGTACTGCAGGTCTTGATACTGTTAGTATGATCAAGTACATTTTAGACCTTTTTATTCATTTTTAAATATGGCCATTGAATTAAGTTTTTTTAATCCCTATCTATTATTCCAGAGCTTCCTCCATATTTCAAGGAAGACTTGTGTAGTGTGGAGGTGGAGGAGGGAGGTACAGCCTATCTGAACTGTGAGCTGTCTAAACCTGGAGTTTCAGTACAATGGAAGAAGAACAAGCTGCCACTGAGGGCTAACAGGAAGTATGAGATGAAGCAAGAAGGCTGCCATTTCCAGCTGCACATCAAGGATCTTAAATCTGAGGACAGTGGAAACTACACATGTCAAGCAGGAAGTGTGGAGACTTCTGCCACTTTATCAGTCAAAGGTATGCACTTTTGATAGTAAGAAATGTAGTGTTAACAGTGCAGGCTTTAAACTACAAATTGAAATTTGAAGAAGGAATGATTGTCATGACTTTTTGCCATATAATGTGCTTCTGTAACCTTAGTCTCAACCCACATTGTAAGTTTATAAACAAGTCTTTTAGGTATAGACATTTTTGATATTTTGGTTAACTGTTAATTATTTACCATTGAACTTATTTTAATTCTTTACCTATTTTCCCAGAGCTCCAACCATTTTTCAAGGAAGACTTATCTAGTGTGCAAGTGGAGGAGGGGGGCACTGCCTCTCTGCGCTGTGAGCTGTCTAAGCCTGGTGTTTCAGTACAATGGAAGAAGAACAAACTTCCACTGAGAGCTAACAGGAAGTATGAGATGAAGCAAGATGCTGCCTTCTCCAGCTTCACATCAAGGATCTCAAACCTGAAGACAGTGGAAGCTACACTTGTCAAGCAGGAAGTGTAGAGACCACTGCAACTGTGACAGTGAAAGGTGTGTGCTACTGCTTCCTGATACCTAACTTAAAGTTTCATCAAAGACATTTCTACGCCTTTTTTATTAACTTACAATCATTTCCGATAGTTCATATTTGTTTTTCCATCCTTGCCTATTTTTCCAGAGCTCCAACCATTCTTCAATAAAGACTTATTTAGTGTGGAGGCTGAAGAGGGGGGCACGGCTTCACTGTACTGTGAGTTGTCTAAGACGGAGTTTCAGTTCAGTGGAAGAAGAACAAACTTCCACTGAGAGCTAACAGGAAGTATGAGATGCAGCAGATGCTGCCTTCTCCAGCTTCACATCAAGGATCTCAAACCTGAAGACAGTGGAAGCTACACTTGTCATGCAGGAAGTGTAGAGACCACTGCAACTGTGACAGTGAAAGGTGTGTGCTACTGCTTCCTGATACCTAACTTAAAGTTTCATCTAAGACATTTATGCGCCTTTTTTATTAACTTACAATCATTTCCGATAGTTCATATTTGTTTTTCCATCCTTACCTATTTTTCCAGAGCTCCAACCATTCTTCAATAAAGACTTATTTAGTGTGGAGGCTGAACAGGGGGGCACGGCTTCACTGTACTGTGAGTTGTCTAAGCCTGGAGTTTCAGTTCAGTGGAAGAAGAACAAACTTCCACTGAGAGCTAACAGGAAGTATGAGATGCAGCAGGATGGCTGCCTCTCAGCTTCACATCAAGGATCTCAAAGCTGAGACAGTGGCAGCTATACTTGTCATGCAGGAAGTGTAGAGACCACTGCAACTGTGACAGTGAAAGGTGTGTGTACATTACATCTTATGGTGTATGCATTCAAATTTGATATGCTACTCTCTTTTTTAAACAATTAAAATATTTGAACAATAGGCATCTCAATGCTTTTGTACAATATAGAGGACCTGGCCAATGAACATTCAGTATTTAACCCCAATTTGACTATAAAAACTAAATATATTGACAAATATTATTTGGCACCCTATCAACTACTTTCTCAAGCAATATTCTGGTCTACTCTCTCCCACACACCCAGAGCTCGCTCCATTTTTCAAAGAAGAATTACAGAGTGTGGAGGCTGAGGAGGGAACTACAGCCTCACTGTGCTGTGAGCTGTCTAAGCCTGGAGTGTCAGTACAATGGAAGAAGAACAAACTTCCATTGAGAGCCATCGGAAAGTATGAAGTGAAGCAAGATGGCTGCCTCCTCCAGCTCTACATCAAGGAGCTCAAACCAGAGGACAGTGGCAGCTACACATGTCAAGCAGGAAGCGCAGAAACCTCTGCAACTGTATCAGTAAAAGGTGTGTGCATCTCTAATTTGTAAAGCTACAATACAAGATTAGTGTAATCATGTCCAACCTCTCTCATGTATTAAACAAATCTCTGTTTCATTTTCTAGCAATACAACTGACTCCTCCAAAGACAGAGTCTCCCACAGTACAGCTTTTGGCAAAAGGCGCCATTTCAGAGTCAACTCCATCTCCAGAGGATGAGAAGCCAAGCATCCCAGAGGCTAAACCCGTTCCTCCAGAGCCAAAAAAGAGAACAAACAGGAAAGCATCTATTACCCCTTTAGACAAAGATGTAAAATCACTGTTTGACCTAAAAGATTCTATACAGAGGGAGAATAGCGAAGACCAAAAGGGCATACAACCTGCAAAGTCTATGGTGAAAGACGTTGATGATGCATGGAATGTAACACAACAGGAGAGCAATAAGGAGAAAGACAGTGAGTTGATGAAGAAAGTGGATAAGACAATAAGACGCCTGGAGAAAGACAAAGATGTGGAAGAACCAGAAAGGTCTTTGGAAACAGAAACAGAAGTTAAAATGGAAGGCATACAACTAGAAAGGGATGTAGAGAATATAGTCAAGGTTGAACAAAATGGAAATCAATCAGACAAGGCTCACGGAGACATCGTGTGTGAACAAAATAAGAAGCAATTGATATGCCTGGAAAAGGAAAAAGAAGTTGACCTAAAGTCAAAGCAACCAGGACAGTCTTCAGAGAAGACAAGCAAAGTTGACTGGAAAGAGAACATTACAGCGCCAGAACTTTGGAAGAAAGTGATCAAGAAAAACCATCTTTGAAACCAAAAGAAAAGTATATTGAGGAGGAACACATTAAAGAACCACAGAGGCCTCGAGCAAAGGAGGGTGAAGTGGGCAAAACACAAGAGGAACCTTTAAAACCACCAGTAAGATCTAAAGGAAATGTGACCACGGTAAAGAAACCACTTAAAAATGTTGCTAGGGAAGCAGAGGAAATGGATGTCCCATCAGTAAAGCCTCCCATAAGTGATTCTGAAGAAGACCACAAACAAAGAAGGCATGTGAAACAACAAGCGTCGACGGAAGGAGAGAGGGAGGGAAAGCAACTGGCTGTGAATAAACAGTCCGTAGATCAAGCAGAAAAGACAGAAAAGGAGGCTGAAATTTCAGCTCCAAAACCACCTGTGAGGGTAAAAAGCAAAGCAAAAGGGGGAATGGATAAACAGTATTCAAGGGACACAGAGACCGATCAAGATGATCAGCAGACAAGAGCTGTGGTTAAAACATTGGGTGATAAGCCTATGAAACCTTCTGTAGAGAGTTTGAAAAGAGAAGTTGAAGAGAAGCAAAGGTTTGAGATGTCAGTAACATCAGACGCTGAGATAGATCAGGAAATTAAGCAACCTGTGAAAGCACCAGAAAGAGATCCAAGCATCAAACAGCCAATCAAACAACCAGTCAAACCAATGAAAAAAGAACCTGAAGAGGACCAGGAAATAAGGCTGGGAGTCGAACCAATGAGAAGAGCAGCCGAACAAAAAGCAGCAAAGATGACAGAAGAAATCCCGCTCCTGTACATTTCTGAGGATGAGACTTTCTCAGAGGCTCTGACTGAGTTACCAGAAGACCTCAGCAATAACAACACCGCTGGGTTTTTGGCTGACAGGTTAACACAACCGTCTTCTCTTCTTCCTGTCAATGAACCCGAACAGGTACAACCTCAAAGCAAAGAAACACCAGAGTTTGACTTCAGCATTGAGGATGAACCACAATTGCAAGATGCTGCAGTCAAAATCCAGGCTGCCTTTAAGGGCTATAAAACACGTAAAGACATGCGACCTGTCTTCAAAGAGTGTTTAAGAACCAGAGTGCAGATCTCCATGGTACAGTTACTCTAGTGTGTGTGGTAGAGGGAAAACCCAGCACTGTGCGCTGGCTGAAAAACAGCCAACAAATTACCAGTGACCATCGATGCCGAATTGAGTCTACAGAGAACGGCATTTGCACTCTCGTGATCAAAAACTTGACTGCAAATGACAGTGGGGTCTATACATGTGAGGTATTGAATAAGTTTGGTGTGACCTCCTACAATGGAAACATAACAGTAGTACAGCCTCAGAAGCTTGTACACCCACCCCTCGCAGCCATAACTCCTCTGCAACTCGCCCCACAAATGCCTGATGCCCAGCTAAGACTCAAACCCACATACCCACCTCTGTTCCTGATGACAAAACTATGTAGAAAGTGTTACTGAATCTCTGTGGGAGGCCTACAACCTGACGGAGCAGGACGCTCAGATGAGACTGCAAGAGAGGAGAGCATCCTCGATCATTGCTGCCAGCTCCAGTGAGTTTTATTCTCTTACTGTTTATGACAGAAATATGTGTGTGCTTGGCCTCATGTCTACAGAAAATAATGTTATGATTGTCTGCTTTCAACAGTGTCAAGTCCCTCTGATTATGAAACGGCTCCGGATATAATGGAACCTGCTGAGACTGGTCCAGTTGTGCCAAGGTCAGGAGCAGAAAGAGATAGGTTTTGTTATCTGGATTTGTCCTTTTATCAGAATCTGAATCAGCTTTATTGACCATGTATGCTTACCCACACACAGAGGAGTTTGACTTCGGTGAACTGTGCTCTCAATATACAAAAAGTACAACATTAAATATAACCATAAAATAAGTAAAGACTAATATAAACAAGGCTAGATAAGACAATAGTGCGGTGGTGAGTAGTGCAAAAATGCCGACATATGAAATGTGTTTATGAAGATACCCAAAGAGTTTTTGAAAACTGTTTCAGGGAAGTGACAACAGCAGTGGATCCAGTGCCTCCAAAAGATGAGGACGAACAGACAAGTCCCCCACAACTTCCTATGAAGCTATTGAAAGTAAAAGGTAAGCCTTGATTTCTTCCACCAGTGTTATTATCTCCTCTCCTAAAGTTGTAAATCACAGTAATGTTCCTTTTTTTCTCTTTAGGGGCTCATGAAGGTAAAATGAGGACACCGTCTCCCAAACACCACCGTGCTCACACACCCTTAACAAGTACTGTCTCTGGATCGGAGTCAGAAGGGGAGGAGGATAGACGAGAGGTAAGCAAATAATTGTGATTAAATCTAGTACAATAACCATATGATATTTTGTTGGATTATTTTGTCTAATATATTCTAATTATTTTTCAACCTCAGACATTTGAAATGTATGTAGCTCGAGCAGACTGCAGCCCTGACAGTGGAAACAAGGACAGTTTTGTGTTGAAGGGGGGCCAGTTTGTGGAGGTCCTGGACTCTGTTCATCCTGATAGGTGGCTGGTGAGGACTAAACCCACCAAAACTAACCCTGCTCGTCAGGGATGGGTGTGTCCCGCCTACCTGGAGAAGAAAAGAAAGGTAGGATATAAACAGTGAAAATCTGAAACCTTAATCATATTCTGCAAGTTTTACTGACAATAGAATCTTTCACTTAATTAAGTGATGGGAAATTTAAAAAGCTATTGATCATAAATACATGCAATTTGTTGAAACAGGAGGCCTTCCCTGCATTAAGAGCACCACAACAGGATCTTGATGGAATTGGGTCTACAGGAGAAGAGTACAGAAGAGCTCTGAGGTGTGTCATTCTGCTATCATACAATGACTGGTCACATAAACAGGGGAGCATTATTTCAAATCAAATGTATTTGAGTTTTATTTATTGTTGTACTTATTTTTTTCTCATTTACACGTATTCCTTGTAGCATCTTTATAACTCTTTCATTTGCTCTCATAAAAGTCTCAGATGTGGACTATTAAAACAAATACTACTTCAACACAACCAATCTGCATTTCATTTCCTTCATCTTCAGCCAACTGATCCAAGGCTTCGTTGATGGAGAAGAGGAGTTTGTGAAGGAGATGAAGATGTTCACCTCTCACCAGCTAAATGATTTGGACTCTAGCCGGAACGTCCCCATAAATCTTGAACCAGAAAGAGATCATCTTCAGGAATATCAAAGACATTGTGTTTCTGCATGAGAAGTAATGAAACCCACACACAAGAAAAACAAATGGATTGTATTATAGTAAACATAATCAATACATTTTGATTGTATTACTATGTGACGCAAATAAATAATAAGATCATGTCTTCTTCTCAGGTGTATTCTCCCTGGTCTGAGAGCGTGTGTCACAGACGATGATGTGGCCATGCATCTGATCAAACACACTGAGGACTTTGAGAAGTACCTACACTACATGGTGGGACAAGCACAAGCAGAAGCCTGCATCAAAGACAAGGCCATCCAGCAGTTTTTTAAAGTACACACAACATCTGGTTGGATTTAAACACAAACATTTTACAGTAATTGTGGCGATGAATGTGCTGAAAAGCAACTTTTAAAAAATATATCCAATGTTCTTTTCTGTTTGATACAATTCTCTTCACACTTCAGGAGTTAATAGAACCCACTAAGCCCGAGGGTCCAGTCATGGATGTTCTGACCTTCCTCCAGCAGCCAGTGGAGAGGATTCAAACCTACCAGGCTTTACTGAAGGTCAGCGCCCAGTTTCACTTTTATGTAAAATCTTAATCATTACTTTCAACATGAGTTTGGTAGTGCCTGACTGCCCGTCTTGTTATCTCGTAATAATGTAGATAAAAGTAAATATTGGTTTCATGGGTATTTATTTCCACTCGAGCTAAGAATTAAAACTTTTTCTGCTCATGAAGTTGCTTAATGAAACTGTGTCAGCTGAATGTCTGGGATTCAAAATATAAAATGTTGTTACAAGGAATTGGTCAAGAACAAAGCCAAAAGTGGCCAGAGCTGCTGTGTTCTGGAGGATGCTTTTCCACTGTGTCCTGTCTACCCTGGAGGTCTGACAACCTGCACCAGGTGTCCCTCATCGAGAACTACCCAGCTCCTCTAACCACCCTGGGCGAGCCTGTGCGACAGGTAACTACAGATGAATGGGCCTATTAGGAGGTTTCGGCATGATGACTTTATTAAGTTTTGTTAAAACTTGTAAAAATGCTTTTGCAAAAATCTAATGAAACTTTTTTCCTAGGATCACCAGAAAATGTCATTCATTTTTGAAGCAGTGTGCAAAACTCTTCTCTGACCAAGTTGCAGCATCAATTCAGCAACTTTTTTTTTAACAGAATACATAAACATTATAATTCTTTAAAGAATACCTAAATAAGGGGTTGTCAGTCTTTAATGTGCATTTATAAAAATATATCCTGTCCCATGTGTTGATCATATAGTATGGTCCTCACTAATTTTCTTTCAGGGAGTCTTAACGGTGTGGGAGGAAACTCCAGAAAGCAAAACAGCCACTAGAGGGCATCAGAGACAAGTATTTCTCTTCAAGGAATGCATTGTACTGTGTAAACTGAAAGGTGACACATATTCTTTCAAGAACAAAATGAAGGTAAGATCTGTTCTTTTCTTGTCACAGTTTGTCTCATTTGTTTTTTAAACTAAGCAAGACAACAGTGAAGCCTTGTAATACCGCATTTGGCCACAAATAATGATATATCCTGCATGTCATTGTACACTGAAAATCTTATCCATCTTCCGTATAGTTTGTCTTCTTACTCTCACTTTTTTACCTAACCAGCTGAATGATGTGGAAATTAAGGAGACTGTGGGTGGAGAGGAAAAGTGTTGGGGGTTGTGGCATGAGCACAGGGGCTCATTGCGGAAGTACACCCTGCAGGGTCGCTCCTCCCTGATCAAACTCTCCTGGCTCAAAGATCTGAGGGAGTTACAACAAAACTCTAGTCTGCCCACTAATTGTACGTATTTTTTTTTTCCTGGGCAGGGAATTTCATGTTGGACAATCAATATATGGATTTGGAAATATTTTAAATGTAATTATAATATAAGAAATATAAATGGTAGCAAAAGGATCACATTGCCTTCTGACATTCTCAGCTGGTGTGTCATGCATGTTGGATGTTTAGTTTGTCTGTATCTAGGTGAACATGTCATCAAAGGTTTGGTGAGTGATTTCTGTTTTTCTTTTTTTATCTTCTCAACAGGCCCACCTGTATTTCAGTCTCTCTTGTCTGACTGCACGACAAAAATAGGACAAACAATCAAACTGACCTGTAAAGTCAAAGGATCCCCAAAACCAGTGATTAGCTGGCTCAAAGGTCAGAAATAACTCGCTCAAATGATTATATTCTGTACTAACTTCTAAGTGTAAAAGGTGTTGAAAGAAGTAGTTGGGTTTGTCGTTTTCCTCTGTATTTATTCTCCTTTAATAACAGAAGGATGATTTCCTGACCAAATTTGTCCTATATGCATTGTTTAGTGGTGCTTCAATGGTTAAAAGTCTGATGTCAACCTCACAGATGGCCTGCCCTTAGAAGATGACCCACGTCACATCATCACAGCAGACAGGTCCGGAACCTGCAGTCTCATCCTGGACAGCCTCACAGCAGAGGACTCTGGACAGTATGCCTGCTATGCTTCCAGCTCCATGGGCAGGGCTGGTACTCTGGCTAAGGTGGTGGTGCAGGGTGAGTCAACAAATACCGTCCTTCTAAACAACTTGAGTGTAACTCCAGAGTCATAATTGTGTTTGAAGATAAATGTTGTACATGCTGTACATGCACAGTTCCACAAAAAACAGAAACACTAACGTCATAAAAATATATGTCATATTTATACTACATCTACGATATCTATAAATCTAAAAACAACTTGATGTTGTTACTTGAACTGAGTATGAAATGAGTATCTACATGTAAGTATACACGTATGTGCAAGTAATGTTTTTCTATTTTTCCTTTTTCCAGCTCCACCTAGATTTGTGTCTAGGCTGGAGAGTGCCTGTCTGATAGATGGAGAAGATATACAGTTTATCTGCTCCACACTTACTACTCCTTTGCCACAGATCAGGTATGGCATCACAGAGAAAATGTAACCCCACTGGCTGCTATTTGTTGTCTTCTCATTGTTGTGTGTGTCAAACATATCTTTCTTTGGGTTTCCAGGTGGTTTAAAGATGGCAGAGTGTTGACTGACCAGCAAAAATACTCCATCCACAACGATGCTCGCAGCGGGATCTTGTGTCTGACGGTCATCAGTGCATCAGTGGCAGATATTGGACAATATGAATGCGAGGTATAAAATCTCTATCAATAAAGGCATAAATATATCAATATTATTATATCCCTAATAATTATTGTCTTTTGAGGAATTAGAAAAAACATTTTTTTTTTTTTTGATAGCTTTTGAATGAGTTTGGCTGCGTCAAGTGCAAGGCAGGGCTGTGCCCCGCTTACGTACCGACGATTGACATCGAGAACAACCAAGCGCAGGACTTGCCCCCTAAAGGTATGACTGCCAGGTCTGCTGAAGGTAAATATTCTCCACACAGGGTTGAAGCCCAGGACTGGGTTTTCATGTGGATGATCCACATTTTCAAAAGTGTAGCAGTTTTCGAGAAGGGATGAAGCACATGCCATTTTCCAGTTTCACTTCACTTCACTTCTGATCCAGTTACCCTGTCAGCATCACATCCATATGACATCCTTCCACTTTCAAACTGCAACACGCTGCATCAATTTCTACTTCAACCAATATCATTCATCCATTCTTTCACAGTTGATTCCATGTGAAGAGTTCACTCACAATTCCTTTTTCCCATTTCACACACACTCACATCATAAGTTGTTCCAACTACCATACTAGTTGTCTCTAGATCCTCTGAGATTATGGAGTCTGAACAGCAGTCAATGCATGAATAACTGAAGCTTTTAATGTTCAGAATAAACATTTACAACTGTATATGTAGAGTGCAGCAAATGTGCATTCACAAGAATTACCGTAAAGTGTTATATGTTGGTATTGATGATCTTAAAATAATCCACACATGGTTTCCATTTCTAATATTTACATTGAAGTCATTGCTCATGTTTCTTAACTTAAAATGACAGCATGTTGTAAAAAACAATCCATACTCTATTAATGCACTGTGTCTGTCTCTGCTGGAATTAAATACTACCGGTTCAACTCTCTCCCAGAATGCTACAATAACTTTGGCCATATTCTACTAGTACATTGTCTTAACTTAGCCATCTCTGACCAATCACTTACACATAACCATTTTTTACATTTCCAATTTGGCCCCTCATCTGGTTCACCACTCACTCACTTCATTTGTATGTCACACTAGTGGTTGGTGTAAAGCACTTTCACCTCTGTGTGTAATTCACAGTTTAAAACTTGTTGGTTCATGTGAGAAACAAACCTCTCAAACTTTACAATAACACCTAACTAATAGCTAACTTCTGACAGCTGTCCAGTACCATAATCCAGCAGGATCTAGTGGCTAACATCCAACATAGAAACCATACTGCACTCCATGCATCTGCATCCATTGAAGACATTTCTACATTTTATTGTATGACATATTTTTGTGTTTTTCTTCATGTTTCCACTTTCAACAGAGGAAAATCAACGTGAACTGACAATTATTTACCTCAATTAGACTTTAATTAGTATAAAGAAAGTCAGGCAAACCCTGATGTGCTGTAAGTTTACATCACTATCACTGTCCATTTTATGGTGGGGTTATGACACCAGCATCTCATATTTGCACTTCCATTGTCCTTAACCTTCATGTTTTTCCATCTCCCCTTGACTAGCCCTAAAGCAGGAGATTCCTCACATGGACCATTCCATGTAAGTCATCAATGTCATGATAACAAATAACCACAAAACATTTCCGTTTCTCCTACTGCCAACGCATGCCCAGCTAACTCTTCACTTCTACGAACACAAGATGGTCATGTGCTGGGCAGGTATCCCCCTTTACCGACATGCAGGAGAGGGCGTGCGCCCTTATCCTGTTGTTGTGTTGGGTTAATGGGGTTAAACCTTCAAGTACCAAGGTAAGAAATGTAATATGACTGCTCCTGGTATGTAAAGGTAATGTACTTGTTTCACTTTTCCTTTTCCAATGATTCTGTTAACTTCAAAATGGAAAATATACTCATTCAAATCTCCTCTCCCATAAAGTCCTGCTCAGTATCCTTTTGGTTTTCACAGATGCAGACTCAGAGGGCTGGTCCACTGCTTTTGTTAAGAAGTGGTTACAGACTGATTTCAGCCCAACCTCTATTGCTAAGATGCTCTTCCCCCCTGAACAAAGTGAACAGTAAGTTTACTACCACCAGCTGGTCGAGCTCTCTTGACCTGCCTTGTTTAAGATTTTTGAGATCACCAACGACTGGTGTAAGAATAGAAAGTAAAAAAGTATTAAGTAGATTTTTCTGTATATTTTGAAAAGCTATTTCTGCTGGCTGATATGTCGTTTCTGATTTAAGTACCTTCTACTTTGAATTTATATTTTTCCATAGGGCTGAATATAGCACAGAGGAGGCTGTTCCTACCACAACAACAATGGATCAGATGCAACAGCAGCAGCCAATGTATTACATAGAGGAAGAAGAGGAAGAGATCTTCATCTCCGAGTCAATGCAGGAAATGACAGGTGGCTTTTCTTGTCTCTGTATGACTTCTATTAACTTCTTTGTTTGATTACTAACTCAGCTGATCTCCTGTCCAGCTCCACCCTCCATCCAGGTATCCTGTGAGGATGTTTGTGTAGAGCCGGGCAAACCAGCTACGTTTACTGCCATCATCACAGGAAGACCTACTCCTACGATACAGTGGTACAAGGTAGGAGCAATGTAAATATGTAGTTCTAACATGAAGAGTGGATTGAAAGGTGATATTGGGTTGGTTAAGTTGCGACATAACGTCTGGGAAAGACAAAATATCTTATTTATACCACACAAGTTGCTTTCAGATTGATATATTTTAAATGTATCATGATCAAGGCAAAAAAAGAAGCTGTAAATGTAAAGAATAAAAAAAAAACCTCCTCGTTAATATTCAGTCTTTCTGTTTTTCCAAGATAATATTTTTTCTTCTGCTGGCCATACCATTTAAATACTGAATTGTTCACTTTTACACTGCCTCCTCTGAGAATGAATAATGATAAAATTACACTCTTAACATATCCCAGAGGCTACGGAAGGGTATTGTAGTGTTTTAAGGGCAAAAATGTTTGATTCATATAGGACATGAATGTTTAAACCTGATTGATGTCCTGATGAAGAATGTTCTGTCCCTATGTGATTGAAGGATGAAGAGGAGCTTGCTGCCAATGAGAACGTGGAGATAGTACAGCATGGTGCCCGCTGTTCAGTGACCATAACGTGCCCTGAGGGTGAGGACAGTGGTATCTACACCTGCTTTGCCTACAATGACTCAGGCCATGCCTCGTGTGAGGCTGAGCTGATAGTGGAAGAAGGTGGGACATCATCAATGCTGCTATTCTTCATTAGTTTAGTTTTATAGACATGATTTATTTATCCAACTTTACCAGTGGTCAATGTAACTTACGTTTGAGGCATGTCAGACATTAATGTAAGGAAGGTCAGTCAATATGTTGATTGGTTGCAGTCCAAGCAGTGGACCTGTTTCCATTCACAGGTTTTTTTTTACTATCTACAGGTCCACTGGAGCGTCAGGAGAGAGAGGTGGAGCTGGGAAAGAGAAGGAAATTATTCTCTGTCTATGATGTCCATGAGGAAATTGGGAGGTGAACCTTAAAGTTTATGTTGGTGTAGTCCAGCGTGCTCATGAGCCATGTGAAGGTGTAATATGATGAAGATAATCTCTTTTTATAGGGGAACCTTCGGCGTAATAAAGCGTGTAGTCCACAGAAGGACAGGTGACGTGTTCGCTGCCAAGTTTCTGCCTCTGCGCAGCAGCAATCGGACCAGGGCCTTCCAGGAGAGGGACTTGCTGTCCCGTCTGGCTCACCCCAGGGTGGCTTGCTTGCTGGATTTCTTTTGCACCAGACGCACGCTTGTGCTCATCACAGAAATGTATCCTCCAGTTAACAGGATTTAATGATGTGTTTTCTGCCATGGTTGGTTTATTTTTTGGGTTGGATATTATTCAGTTAGGAGTTCTTTAACAACATTTCTAGATGCTGTTCCCATGGACTTCTGGACCATTTGTTACTGAAAGGATCAGTCTCAGAGAAAGAGGTACAAGCACATTTACGTCATAGATATTTTTTCTTTTTTTCTTACAAACTTTATTAAGGGTTAATGGTTTGAGTTATGGTAATATTCTACGTTTTGTTTCAGGTCCAGTCATACATCCAGCAAATCCTTGAAGGAGTTGGTCACATTCACAGCATGAGCATTTTGCATCTGGATATTAAAGTGAGCTTCATTGCCTGATCAGCCTTGCATTATTGACCCTGATATTATTATTGATGCAGTTCCTAACATACTTTATTTTACTTAATTTCAGCCTGATAATATCCTCATGGTGTATCCACCCAGAGATGAAATCAAGATCTGTGACTTTGGCTTCTCTCAAGAAATAGACCCATCCAGACACCAATACAGTGTGATTGGTACACCAGAGTTTGTCGCCCCTGAGATTGTTCATCAAGAACCTGTCACTGCGGCCACTGATATTTGGTGAGTTTAACTACCAGCATACAAGAGAGAATTACCTTTTTTTTTTAAGATATTTGCAATAATTCTCTTGTTTTGTTTGTCAGGTCTGTAGGTGTTGTAGCCTATATAAGGTATGTATCACTGAAAAAAATAATAAATTCAATACATAGTTCATAAACGATACTCCTGAGTGTTAAAAAAAAAAAAAAAATCTACATCAAGCTCTGTATTTGCCTTGACAGTCTGGTGGGTCGATGCCCTTTTATGGGTGAGACTGACCGCTCTACACTGCTGAGGGTAGGCGAGGGGACCCTAAACTGGGATGCTCCTGATGTCACATATAGGAGCCCTGAGGCCCAGAACTTTCTCTACCTGCTGCTTCAGCCGGATCCAGAGTAGGGGACCTTCTTTATTATCACACACGCTGCCACAGCTAATCACACACAAAACTGCAACATCATAAAAGATATTTCCTAAAAATGTACAAGCATAAATATTTGAAAAAGTTTGTGCTGTATTTGTGCTGAAGCTTCTCCCGGCTGATTTTGAATCCTCACTGATAAAACATGAGTGTAAAATGTGATCTCAAAGGGCACAGCACAGAAAAACAGGTTAAGTAGAAAATAATTGGGGAATCGTCTAAGAGCTGCTGAAAAGCACTTCACTCTTCTAATTCATTAATAATGTTATCCATCATTTTTGCTGACGTTCTTGCACGTCATTCAAATTTTAAACCCACACTTGATTATAAGTTGAAACTAAAATATTTCCAATACACTCCACATATATCTGACCTCCTCAAACTTTACTTTCTTTTAGGAAGCGACCATCTGCCTTTGAGTGCTTGAGCCATGAATGGTTCCAGGTGAGAGGAAATACTTCACAAATGTTGCTGTTATCAAACATGCTGTTGTCCTCTAACTCAGAAAAACGTTTTAATATTCAAATCTTAAATATACTGTGCCCAGGATGAACATGCTGGTGAAGATACTGATGAAATCAACACAAAGATTTTGAAAGTCTTCATCTCTAAAAGGAAATGGCAGGTAAGTAAACTCAACCTGGGAAAAAGGAAGAACTTACCAGTATGTAGTAATGTTGAACATTTTGACAACATATAATTTCCTTAAAAGACAACAAATAGTCTAACTCAGGGGTGGGCAACTGGCGGCCCTGGGGCCACATCAACCCTCAATATGGCCCTCAGGTCAATTTTTACATATCAATTAGTTGGAAACATGAAGAAAACATGACAAAATCTGCAATGAAATCATGAAAACCAGAAATATGTACATAAAAATATTTGATCATTGGTATATGTCGAGTTAAATTTGAGACATAATTGACTGTAATCATTTTTGTATACTACAATTTGGCCCTCTGGCAGTGAGAATTAAATCAATGTGGCCCTTGCTGTAAACAAAATGGTCCATCCCTGGTCTAAATCTATCCTCATCAGTAATTCTATTCTATGCTCCCAGCGCTCTTTGACTTGCATTGGTTCAGTTCTCACACTGAGGCCCGTCCCTGAGCTGCTGGACGCTCCTCTCAGAGACACAGCCGTCACTGTGCCTCGCGAGCCTCAGGATCACAGCAGCACCTCTATGAGCAGCGGCTCCTCCTCAGAGTACGATGAAGCCGACTCCTGGGACTTTTTCCAGCACTACAGCCAGACTGAGGAGGAGGAAGAAACTGAGGAGGACTATGATCCTTTAACAGAGAGAGCACGGATCCCTGAGCCTTTTGCCAAACCTTACCTTGATGCAGAGGAAGAAGAGGAAGTGACTCTGGGGGAGGAAGAGGATGGAGAGATGCTGGGAAGAAGGAGTGTGCTAGAGCGCAGTGTGAGCAGGCAGTCAGTTGCGTCATCAGATGTGTCGTGCCAACAGACACCTCAGAGGGAGCGTAGGTTTAGCAAAGACAGTAGTCCATCTCTTTACTTATCTGATGGGGATGAGGGCTCAGGGAGTGACGGAGGCCGTATCCCTCGTGGCAGCCTAATTCGAAGTACTTTCTACAATACCTCTCATCAGCTCTCACCTATGTCTGCCAGACACATGACGTTACGGGACAAATTCCAGGCCAAAAAGCAGGAAAGAGGCCGTAAACCACTCCGGAGAAGCCTTTCAGGACGTCTAAATGAGCCTCTTATTGAATATGTGGAAGATGACACAGAGACCAACCGTGGTCAGAGACGGGCTTCTATTCAAACTACAATGCAGAAGTCCTGTTCCTTTGACAGCGGTGTTGGCCTTGCCCACACCAATGTACCACCTCACAGGAGGAGCAGGTCTCTTGACGAGTCTTCTCGTCGATCTCCTAGCTCACCCTCACGCACAAAGTCTGCTGAGGAGGAAGGCTCTCAGAGTCTGAAGGAAGATTCAACTGATAATGAAGTGGCAGGACGAAACTTGTTGGCCATCCCGCGTCCTCACCGCCCTGCAAGAAGGAGAGGATCTGTTGCTCCATTACAAGCTTCTGGAACTGGCATTGTGGGTGGAACTACGGCACCCTCAAGCTTCTTTGCTGGAGGCAGAAGGAGTCTAAGGCTGAATCAGGAGCAGACAGAGGGTGACACACTTGCTGGCTCCCAGGGGTCTCTTGCTGAGTCATTAATTTTGGAGCATGGTGGCTCTGAGTCTTCAAGTCGAGACGGTTCCCATGAGGAGCTGAGTCATGGCTATCTCAGAGGCAAATACAGATCAGGAGAGAGCGATGGGTATGATGATCAGGGGGAGCCTCTCATTCCACCATCCCCATGCTCCTTCCGAGAAGTTAAACCCAGAAGCTCTGCACCCCAGGCACCGCCCCGAAACCGAACCCGCTCCAACCCTAACTTATCAACAAACAGCAGAACCCAGTCGGGGACACTGCTAACTGCAAGTCCAAGTCCAAGTCTCTCTTCGCTCCAGGCTCCAGAGAGGCCTCCCAGAGCCAGGGACAAAAAGGAAGGCTATGGCCTCCAGAGGCATGCATCTCTTCCAGCACTAGAAGCCAGGCCACCTACGGGAAAGTCACCAAAGCTGGGACTGCTAAAGCTCTTCCGCAGGCAATCCTGGACTGGCCATTCATACTCCCAGCTGGATAACACAGTGTTAGGACCCACACTAGGAGAGATCATGAAGCCAGATACTCCTACCATGTCGCTAAGGAAGAAAATGAGAGCTTCAGCCTCCAGCCTGACCAAGCTGTTTTCAAGGTCTTCTAGTAAAGAGGACGTGAGTAAAGGAGGTGAGCATTTGACAGACAATATGGCTAGAGGAATATTATTTTGGGAAAAAACTAGAATATGATATATAGATATCAGGAAATTGAATTATTATTTTATATCACTACCTAACCTGGGGCTAGTCACTTTGACGGTCACTTTATAAAATGATGTTACCTCTTTTGTGACGCTGTTTGTCTTCTATAACAGGGCCTATAGTAAAAGGATCATCTCCCATCCCACCTGAAAGGCACCGAGGCAGTTGTATAGAGAGTCCAAAAAAGAGGGCCTCTAAACTATTGCCTTCTTTAAAAATACCTGCATTCATAAAATCGAAAGGTAGTGAAAAAGTTACATTATGTGGATTTTTTTATTTTACTGATCCCACTATGATTTCTTTACTATAAACCTGGTTTTGGATGTATGTCTTAAAATAACATTTCCAGACCTGCCAGTCCGTCCAAACAAGGCTGAAGTATTCCAGTTAGATGGAGGGGAGTCCTGCTGGTTTGGAGACCGGTCAAGTCCAATGACCGAGTCACCTACTGTGTTCAGTACTGTACAGATGGTGAGTTCGCCAGCATGGTTATTAAAGTGGTGGTTTGTGTTCATTGGGAACCCAATTCAACAAAATAATTTGTTTATGTAAGACATTTTTCCTTACATTTTGGAGTTTTTCTTCTTTCTAGAAAGTTCAGCAATTTAAACGTTGGACTCATATTGGTCAATATTGAATTGAGATAAGACTGTTTTTCACACTTTGAAATGGCACAATGTAGGTTATCAGTGCAGGTTAAGTGTATTGCAGAGCAGTGTAAAAAGTTCACGTTTGAGACTTGTTAGTTTAAGGTTTAAGACTCAAGGCTATAGGATTCTCTTATTAACAACAGTTTACCTCGACAAGCATTTTATTTCACATACAAAAATGTTATCAGTATCATTGTTGTTTGAAACAATTAGAAGAACAGTCAATGTGCAATGAGTGAAACTTTCACTGCATACGGTGTCATGTGCCCTGTTGTCAGGAGGGGAATGGACAGTTTTGTCAGAGGATGTGACTGACAGCTGCTATGTGGTGAAGGACTTACCCAGAGGAGCTTCTTACGTGTTCAGAATGGGATGCATCACCAAGACAGGAGCAGGACCCTTCAGTGATGCTTCAGCACCTGTTGTCATGGCTACACATCCTGAAGGCAGGGGAACACTTGATGTGCATTTTAATTTTTTTTTAATATGAGACCAAGCTTTGTAAATGTAACATGAAATTGCCTGATTGATTTGGTTTATTTAACATTCAGATATACAGCACATGGATGGTTAGAGAGCTTTTTCCTTTATTTCCTTTGTTCTACAGAGACTCACATTCCTCTGATCCAGACTGAGTCATTGGGGTCAAAGGCTGTTGGACCAGGTCAACAAACAACGAAGCACAAGAACTACAATTTCCTCTCTGAGATCAACAGGTAAGGTTTTTGAGTAGAAGAAAGGTATTTATAACTTCTCTCATGAACATGATATTGTTTCTGCTTCTGAATTTATTGGACACATTGATGGGATTTTTTCTGGTTTCCAAATGTCCACAAAATACTGCCTTTTTACAGTTCCTCTTCATCTTCATCTTGTTGATCTTCTCTCTCAGAGGTCGTTTCAGCGTCATAACCCTGTGCAGGGATTCTGAGACCAGCCAAGTGTTTGCTGCCAAGATCACTCCTTACCAGGCCGAGCAGAGACAGTTGGTCCTACGGGAATACCAGCTGCTGAAGAGGCTTCATCACCCACATCTGGTGCAGCTGCACACAGCGTACATCACCTCCCGATACCTGGTGTTAGTGGAGGAGCTGTGTCCCGGCAAGGAGCTGCTCTACAGTCTGTCAGCAAGGTACAGTGTTCATCATAAACATATGTCCAAAACTAGAACAAACGTTTGAATATAAATACAAAGAGACATTATTGAGCAATCGTTGTGATAATAGTTAGTGGAAACAATTTTTTATTTCCTCAAAAAAAACATCTTGTTGTCTTGTTGCATATGTTGTTCTTTTTTGCCGAGTTACAGGAGGCAGGTGAGTGTGTCTGTCCTTGTGATACTTTGGGCTCAAGCAAATGAGCTTGTCATCTTACCACAAAATCTCTACACAAAGTCTTCACAATCTTATGAGGATGATTTCCTGGAGACTGAAGATGCTCCGCTGCAAACATCATGAAGTACTCTGTCAGGGGACTTTTAGTCATTAAGTTAAAAACCTCTGCATTACTTCTCTTTTAATACTCCTAGTAAGGGTCTTTTTAGAGAAACCATCCTGTGAAAATATTAATAAATTATTTCAGAGATTCTCTAGTTAGTCCACTAGGACTATTGTGATGTTATTCAAACACATTCATCAAATAAATTGTTATAAAGAGAATCTAGCTGAATAAAACACTGATTGCAAAGTACAGAGACAAGGAAACTGGACGCTTACTGTAACTAATAAATGCAGTGTAAACCGTCTATTGTTAGGTTTACTCTAATTCAGAGCTTTGTCAAAAGGTTATTTTAGTGCAACCTACCCATTCTGTGTTGACCCCTCACAAAACAAAATCTAATCCCTTGCATCCTGTAGTCATAGGAAAAAATCTTTCTTCTTGTATTTTGGCTCTCTCAGAGATCTGTATTCAGAGACTCAAGTCGCAGAGCTGCTGGTTCAGATTCTGAGTGCAGTCGACTACCTTCACAGCCGTCGAGTCATCCACCTGGACCTGAAGTCTGACAACATGCTGGTGGATGATGGTAACCATCTGAAGATAGCTGACTTTGGCTCAGCTCAGTCCTTCACACCGGGTCAGCCTCTTCAAATCGAGCATATTCACGGCTTTTCAGACAACAAAGGTACTGGTGTGTTTTTAATGACTAAAGACAAACTGCCTGCATTGTTTTAGATTCTTCTAATTTTACTAAACCTTTGACTGTCATGACCCCCAACAGACTGCCGCAGCAAAGGTACACACTAATGGAGGACGGATTGATGGATGGAAATAACTCAACCTAATTCCATCTACCTCAGCAGACCCTATACCATAGCCTAACAAACCCAAGTCCAGTTTTTAGTTATTTTTAAAATCACTTTATTTCTATTGAGCATGTAAGTGAGTGTGGTTTTCCAGTAACAGCACAACATTTTATGAATGGTGTCCTGTGTCTGTCTGTTTTGTCAGTTTATATTGTCCTTCCTAAAGCTCCGGAAATCCTGGAAGGTCAGGGTGTCGGGCCAGAGACTGACATCTGGGCCATAGGAGTCCTGTCATTCATCATGTAAGTGAAGAGATACAGATTTATAAAAATCAGTTACTTTGTTGTTTGTGAAAGTATTTCAACGTTTATATGGATTTAATTTAACTAAAGAGCTTATGTGTATCTGAATGTTAGTAGTTTTCACTAGATAACAAATGAATGGTTATAAAGATTGAATTATCTCAGTTTTCTTTTCTTTTTTTGTTATTTACCGGTAAGTATAATTAATGCAGACTGATTAGTTCAGTCTTCAGATGATGAAATGTTAACAATATGAATGACTTAAACTTCTGTGTTTCTGAAGTAGTGAATAATAAAAATGACTTCAGTGGGATGTTTGTCTTTGTCTTTGATTTTGTTAAATGTATATTGTTTTTCCCTTTTCCCCACTAGGTTGAGCGCTGACAGCCCGTTTGATGCAGAGCACAGCTGGGATCAAGACAAAAACATCAAGAAAGGGAAGATCCAGTTTGGACGATGTTACCCCGGTCTGTCGGAGGGAGCCTTAAACTTCATGAAAAGCAGCCTGAATAATAAATCCTGGTGAGTATCAAATGTGATCTGCATTAAAGCATCTGATATAGAGATGAATAAAACCCATTTTGAATTAATGTTTTCATTCTTTTCATGTAAACCAACGATTATAAGAGAAGTCGAATTAGTGAATTGGTAACATAAAGGTGTGTTCTAACATTAATATAGGGGGAGGCCCACTGCAGCAGAGTGTCTCCAGAACCCATGGCTGCGTGCACATCGTGTCCCACACAAAGCCAGACCCTCCAAAGTGTGTTTTTCCACAGACAAGCTCAAAGATTACCTCAAGCAGAAGGAGGAGAAGCGGGACGAGGTCCACACCAAGCTCCAGGGTCCTTTCTTCCAGTAAAGACACACTGCAGAGGTTTCTTTTCAGCAGCACATGAATGTTTCCTGTATTACTGTCTTGTTCAAATCATTTCAGTATCCGCTGAGTTTGAAAAGGTGATCCGTCTTAATGAGTTTTTGTTTATTTATCCATTAGCTTGTACATGAGAGTGTGCTGCATCTGTTGTTCGTTGGCATAAATGGAAACATCAAGGATACGGTTTAGCCTGAGCAGTGAATGCATCAGATGTAATATTTTGATTTTAGTGACATAAGAAACTGTTGCTTTCTCCGCAGTAACAGGCGGGCAGATTTAGCCTTACAGTGAAAATAGTATCACTGCTATTCTTCTTCATAAGTGAGTGAGTGAGTGAATGAGTCATTTATTATAAATACTCTGTGCCATGTTTTGCCCTAACGCTCTGGGGAATTACTTAGATTAAAGATTCTTTTTGGAAATGTGTTATTCTTAAAATTGGAAAGATTTAGAAAATAAAAAGAGACATTAAATGGTACCAAAGTACATCCTTTATTTAGTCTGATTTGAATACAAACACCCAATCATACATGTATCACAGATGTGCAGATTGTCTTGTTCATGTGAGCAATAATTTAGAAACGTAACATTGAAAGTACAGATGAATCACAGGAAGGTTTAAAAATACATTTGACTTTGAGAAAAGGATCTCTACCGTATTTTAATTCAACAAAACAAAAGCAAGAGAAACTATTTTTGAGCTTTATGAAACAGGTACTGACTGGTGAGAAGTGTCAAACTTTGGGTTGTCAAAACCAAACTTTGTGCTGAATTCTGTACCATGTTTTTTTTTCTTCCTGTCAAAGTTTAGCTGAGACAGCTGGTCGGGATTTTAATACCTATATCAACCATTGTGAAGGCTAAATCTAACACAACCCAAAAAACATCACCCCTCCCCCATTCCTTTTCTGTTAAGAACAAAAATCCCTCTTCTCTATCCGAGCAGCACTGAGCATATAACTGCCCTGAGCAAACTTTTGACCATGTGAGGGTAAAGAACAAACCGCATGACTCAGTGAAGGTGGAGTAATATAGGCCAGAGTCAAAAGTCCTGGTTCTTCTTTCCAGCAGCAGAGGATCATGTATCTGTATCCTTTTTAAGATTGGGCCTCCTGAACTTTTTGGATTTCCTGTAAAAAATAAATTAAAAAAAAGAGATGAAGGAGAATTGTCTCTGCAACAGCTTAAGAGCAAGGATGATTTCACGGTCTTACTCACTTCATTGAGGATATCTTTCAGGTCCTCATAGGCTCTTTCTAAATCATCATTGATGATTACAATATCAAACACTCCTGGCTCCTTGCCTGAAAAAGTAAAAAGTGAATCAGCCGAAGTTAAAGGTCGATATTTCAGCGTCATGTCCGAGAAGGACTGCTGAGACACTCACTGAGCTCCATATCGATGCGTGCGGCCTCCAGGCGTTTCTGTAGACTCTCCTCTGTCTCTGTCTGCCTGTCTCTCAGCCGTTTCTCCTGAGAAAGACAAGAAACATGATGCTCTGTTGGTCAAGCGCTTCTCCAATACATTACATGTTTATATTTAAATGTGTCTGGCAAACTAGCAGAATCACATGATTATGTGCACTGTCCCAATAAAAAAAAACAAGGATATGTTAATAATTACCAAGATTTCCATGGAGGGAGGCTGGATGGAGATGTAGATGGGGTTCAGGTCGGTCTCTTTAATCCTCCTCACACCCTGGATGTCTACATCTAAGATGCAGATAAGGTTCTTGGCCTGCACGTCTTCTATGGCTGCTTTACTGAAGAATCAAAGCAGTATTACATTTAAAAAAACAAATACAACAAGAGGATTTTGATGTGAACAATGCACACATCAGAACACTGGCATCCTTCACCATGTCCAGCCGGGCATTTTGTGTGTTGTATACATGTAATAATGTGTTTCTCACACTGAGAAAG